GTCAAACAAAGCAGGTCTCCTTCAGAAAATCTGGCTACCAGTCATCAGCTTGATTGAAAAACTGAATCTTTATTGCTTTTATAAATTACAATATAAAATGTCCTACTGTAATATCAACCCCTGCAACACAAAATAATAAAGTTAATTTAGTCTGTTTTTAAGCTTCTGGTATTATTCTTTTTCATATTTTTAAGAATTTGAAAACTTATAAACAGATATTTTAAATTATTATATTTGTTTATCAAATGGGCAGAGATAACAGGGGAAAAAAACCCATAAAATTCTGTTAAGTCAGGCAAGACAAACTCTTACCCATCAAAGGTCCATTCTGAGCCACGGGCGACCGTGGCTCAGAATGGGCCAGAATGGGTTGGGAAGCGCATCTGTAACCGGAAGGTCGCCAGTTCGATCCCTGGGCTCTGTCCTGGTCGTTGTGTCCCTGGGCAAGACACTTTACCCCACCGCCTACTGATGTTGGCCAGAGGGGCCGATGTCACGATATGGCAGCCTCTCTTCTGTCAGTCTGCCCCAGGGCAGCTGTGGCTACGACTGTAGCTTGCCTCCACCAGTGTGTGAATGTGAGAGTGAATGAATAGTGGAATTGCAAAGCGCTATATAAATGCAATCAATTATTATTATTATTATTATTATTATTATTATTATTGTGAACCAGCTGCCTACAAGCTTGAAAATGCAATGCATGAAGGTAACTGGACTTCTTTAGGTTTTTGAGGACAAAAGGGTTATTGACCCACTATTGATCATGTCAGTCAACGTGATGCTCAGAATCAGCTCCAAAGGGGATAGTCCCCACTAGGGTTTAATTACCCAGGACTCGTTGTTTTAGAACTGAAGAAGCCTCTTGGATGGAAGCCGAAACCTCTTCAGAAACCTAAAGAAGTCGAGATGCCTTCTTTTTCAAACCCTCAAGACTACCGTGGCCTGGTTTACTGAGACCCTACACAGACCGTGCTTGCCAAAAAATAAAATAAAACGGTAGAGTGATGAAGAGCTGTACTGGCTGGACTTTTAAAAAAAGGAAACTATTTTTTTGTGTGTACACAAGACAAGGAATAAACACTAAAATCGTGACAAATCAAAAACGTATATCAAAGCCAAATTGAATTTTCCAATCAGTGCATCAGGTGTAGAGACACTGATCCTTCAAAACACCTTGACGCAAATACATAAATCCTTCTTAGCCACTAGAACAACATGGCTCTGGGGATGTGCATTTGTCATTACACAACATCCAGCAAGGACAAAACATAAAAAAAACCCAATGGGTCAAGAGATGTTAATACAACTACTGACAGAACTGTCCAAGAATACAAAACCAATGTAACATACTTTGGCACAGAGCCTTTTCAAACACCCTTTGGTCAACTCTTACAAGCTGCTTGAAAGTGTTAATAGGTGTGCATTATTTTTTGGCAGGTTTCTGAATACAGGCCAGCTTTAAAATGTGTAATGCATTTCTGGCTGCATGCACAGTGTACCTGCAGTGGATCCGGCAGTGTACACACACACAGCGGTCATGACAGGCAGACTATTTTAAGCGGCGGACCCCTTCATCCTCTTACCTTTGAGCTGCGGCAGCGGGGAGAGCTCGACCGGAGCGGTGTGAGTGCGATACTGAGAGGAGCCCTGGGATTTTCTCTGCTTCTGTGCCTTCCTCATGGACTTCCTCGTAAACCCATCCACTTTCTCTGATGCGGAGATGGCCGACATTTTGATGCATAAAATAAAAAAAATTTAAAAAAACTACCTTGACACTTTTTGCACTGTATCTCCTAGGTCATACGAAAAGCTTCCTTCCCCTTTTCACATCAGAAGGTTTGTGTTATTTTTGTATGATCCAACATGGTCGGTCGGTACGGAGGTTAAGCTGTGCCCAAAGACTGCATCATTATCGTGCTCTATGAAATACGGAGGAGGGGGATAGTCTTCAAAATACGAAAAAATACGAATTTAGTCACACGACACCGCCCACACTACACAGCACGGAGCGACCAACGCGACGAGAATTAGCTCCTAAATTTCTGACATTCTTTTTACTGCTGCATTGTGATCGAAAAACGTCTACCTGTTGCAAAACATAAGAGAGGCATTGCCGGATTGAAGCTGTCTACAGTAGACCTAAGCTGACAGTTAGCTAGCCTGCTAAAATTAGCTGACGGTTACAACAATTTGCACCGCTGCTGAGGGGGGAAAAAGTTACCAAAGAAAGTTGCCCCGTTAATTTTTTGCAGCTCTTCGGTAAAACACACAGTCCGCGTCTTCGAGCACTGGTTTAATCCTAGACAGAATTCTGCTGAGTGTGTTTTTGAGAGAAAAAAAATTATCCGCGATCGATGAAGTTAAATTTCGCTCGTCGACTCATTTAGCGCTTGAAAGTTAGCCTCATCCACCTAAGAGAAACTTCACCTTTCGCCACACTTCCGAATGAATCGTGTGAGACTGTTTCGCTAGCACGACCTCGATAAAGACCGAGTATTGTCAAAAGCAGCAAATTACTGGATGTCGAGCTGAGGCAGGCAGCCGTAAACACTCCCAGCGAAGCCGCTCCGTCACTGTGTGTCTGTGAGCTTGACTGCGGAGCGCTGACGGGGGCACGTCACTGATTGACGTTGCTAACAGCCAATCAGAGGCGAAAATTTCAAAAAACTAGAACTTTTTAAACCAATCGAGTAGCGCAGAAAGCGGGACTTGAACATGTGACATGTGAAAACAAATAGGTGATGCGGTACAGGCAGCAGCGTTAAACAAAAACTGACACACGTCTCGTAGCAATACATTTAAAATAATAATAAGAAAATATAATAAGAGTTCCATTTGTCGCCGTGTGTTTCTTTGCGCTTTTTAAAGAAGTACCCCACTTATACTTTCAGTTTTTAGCCACAGATTGTTTTAGGATTTAAAAAAGAGATCCTGGGATATTGCATTTGGAAAAACTCCGATAACAAAGAGACTGAAGAAGTCACTTGGATGAGTGACGAAACGTTTCTCCCACCGAAAACTTATTAAAATATTTAAGTGTATATTTGAGCCTGTATGTACGCTCCTGACCCCCGAGAGAAAATCCAAAATAAATTCAACCATGTGCACCCTGGTCATTAAAGATGTATGCTGTTCAGTCATTCCACCCTGGAAAACTGATAATAACTGTATGTTATTCAGGAATTCACACACGCTTTGGCCCTGCCTGTATCACTCTCTAACTCAATGCCTTCCGCATTACATGCTGTGTGTGTTTATAAAATACAGGTATAAAGCCTAAAATAAGGGCTTTCCACAGGAAATTGGGTTTCTATTTTAGTACATTTACTTTGTCTGTAATAGAGACAAGAAGAAAGCTTTCTTTTTTCTTTTTTACTACACTTACATCAAAAGTAACACAAAAGAAATCTAGAATAATGTATTGTAAAATCCTAAATTATGAAAGAGAGTGCCATAGAGCTAAGTCCTGAAACCTAATATTTATATTTAGAAGCCTAATTCTAAATATGGATTGTATAAAGATGTTAATAATTACCATCCTTAATGTTAATTATTGTCATTTATCTTTATCTATTTAGATGAATCTTGTAGTAGATTTTTACCATTTTCTTTCCCTATTAATTATTTGCTATTATAATGGAAACGGAACAGTAAGTGTTAACAAGTTTTTCATTAGACAGGAGTCTATGCAGTCCCTCACTGTTTCCACGGGAATTTAGAGGGTAAGTAGTGCTACCAATCAAATGCACTTCATAAAGCGAAGCATTTAGAATTACCAACATCTTCCCAGGAGTGGACGTCCCAGCAAAGTCACCCCAAGGTCAGACTCTACAATGCTCAAGAAAACTACACATTCACCTAGAGCTACATCTCAGGTCTCAGTTAGCATGCTAAATGTTAAAGTTCATGGCAGTACAATTAGTGCTACCATACCAGGAGAAAACATTGTAGCAGAGCTTAGGGTTGCAAAATTACATCTGAACAAACTTCAAGCCTTTTGGAAAATGTCTTCTGGATGGACAAGACCAAAGTGCAGAGGTTTGTCCATAATGCACAGCATCATGTTTTGAGAAAAGCAAACACGCCATATCAGGACAAACATCTCCTACCAACTATCAATGGCCATGGCGGAGTGGGGGGTGATTTGGGCTTGTTTTGCAACCACAGGACCTGGGCACCTTGAAGTCATTGGGTCAACCACAAACTCCTTTGTAAATCAAAGTATTATAGAGTCGAGTGTGAAGCCATCTGTCTCACTGCTAACGTTTTGCCAAAATTGTGATATGTAACAGGAGCACAGCGGCAGTCAAAGTCTAGACCTCAATCCGACTGAAATGCTGTGCATAAACTTTGCCCACAAACCTCAATGAACTGAAGTGACACAGTTAAGAAGAGCGTGCAAAAATTCCTCCACAGTGATCTGAGACTGAAAGTCATACAGAAGTCAAATATTTAAGTAACTACCATCAAATACCAGTATACCATCTTTTTTCTTTAATAACTTACTGTTCATTTTCTCACCTATCATGCTTTTATGTTGAGTTTGTGTGCTCTTCAGTTCAGCTACATTTATAATCAGAGGAAGTCACTTCATTGAAAGTCTTTACCACAGCTGCTGTAATAAGTTACCATAACACATACATGTTAAAAACAACCCTTCTGCCTCTCTGGGGCAGAGGCAGTGATTGTCAATTTTTCTGGCATTGTCTTCCAACCATTTCTATAGTTGGAATACAAAATGAAAAAAAAAAAATTAAGTAAAAAAATTAAAACTGTCCAAATGGAACAAAATAGCTGTAAAACACTAATCTCACGAATCATGACTAATCACACGAATCTGCAGGGAGCTAAAGAAAAGTGTGAGATGATAGAGATTTAATTTTTTAGGTTTGAATGTTTTTCAGTCTTTAGATTTTCTCTTTTAATTACCTCGACTAAAACTCTCACCACTTCCCCATCAGACCCTCTCTGTCCCTCACATACACACAAATACACACACAGGCAGAAAACTGTTTAATAAAATTTGACTACAGCTAGATTTATCAATTAAATACAAATAAATCAAGCATCATTCATTGGTTCTTCTGTACATATAGACAAGTCAAAAATTTGCTCAGTAAGGAAAAAATCTATTGCAAACCACGTGTGCAACTCCGATATGAAGGAGCAAGCTCGTACACGGAAAACACGTGACTTCGATGGCTGGCTTACAAATGTTATAGAGCTGATCTGTGAGCAGCTTACAGTGCGGTTCATAAAAAGGTTTAACAAAATGAACCAAATAACTAGATTTTTTTTTAATTGTTCTGTGAACAAATGCTTTTCTCTGCACTTGAGGATCAACTTTTTAAAATCTAATCAGCCTTTTAAATGTGGAGTCTTCGATTTAATGCTGAAGCATCTTTAGAAGTACTCATGTTCGCAACTTTAGTCGCCAGCCAGAAATTCTGCACAGCACCAGAAATTTCTGTAGGAGGCGTAAAAATGAAGAAGAACATATTTAAATAAAATTGAAAGCAGTCCCTGGATGTCAAATCCAAACCATCAAATGTTCAGTGACTGATCTCTTCTAATCTCAGTAATCAGTGATCTTAAGAGGCTTATAGTTTTTGGGTGCCACTTAAAAACCACCTTGAATAAAACCCTCTTAAAGAAAAGCACCAAGTTTGGTACAACCAGGTCAATCCAAAGGCCTTTTTGTGAAATACATGGAGATTTTCTTCATGGCTGGAGGGGTGCACACATTCTGGAAAACAGAAATGAAAAAAAAACAAAGGATCATCTTAAAAGCTAAAACAACATGCATGGATGCCACATTTAATAAAAATATAATCACCCACACATATCAGTGCCAATGCCTACAGTATGTAAGGACTGTCAAACTCATTTTACATCGTGTGCTACATATAGCCCACTTTGATAACTAAATATTTCATCCCTGTCTTTAAGACTAAGAAAAATGACCATTGCGTTGTAGTTTTTCTATGGAATAAACATATATTAAGAAGAAAAAAAAACAAAAAAAAAAACAGGTGTTCAATTGTTTTTCTATTACTTAACTACTTTTAGGTTGAGTAATAGTAATAGTTGATTTAGTATGAATTGCTACGGGGGAGCTCTTTATCAATAGGAAAAGCTTTAAAATCTCTAAAAATACAGATAAGAGTTTAAAATCCATGCACTCATTCGCTTTTTAAAGCCTTTCGGTGTCGCCAAAAAGGACTCTGTGCTGGGACGATTTTTGTCCCCGGACCTTATTTTTGACACCCCTGCTGTATGTGCTGATATGGGTTCCTTTTCCTTAAAGAATATTTTGCTGAAAATCTCCTTGAATCATTTAAGGAATGGCATCATATCTGCTTTGCCTCCACCATCTACAGCAGCTGTAGCAGGAGGTGGAAACAAGCAGCGTCTGTAGGTGGCTGATGGGCAGCTGCGGTTTAAAATCTCCACCTCATCGGCTGCCAATTGTGTTTCAGTATAACTGAACTACATATAACACCACCCTTGCATCACAGCACCAAACTTGAGGATAATTTCAGATGAGAATGTTAATCCACTCCCAAACCTGTGAGTTTTATACTTACTGGTGATGCTGGTGTCTTGCTTTCTTGTTTCTTAGCAGCACTGGGACTTCTGGGGTCTTTGGGACTTCTAGGGCTTCTTTGACCTTTCCTCAGCTTCTGGCTCATCACTGACAGCCAGTTCACTCCTCTGGGAGAGCAGTTCTCCTTGTCGGTCTGTCTGGATGAAGCCGCATTGTTGTCCTCTGTGTGGCAGTCTGTTTGTGCTGGGCTCTCCTGAGCTGGGCAGCAAACACCAGAGAGGGTCCGGCTCCTCTTGGCTGCAGGAGAGAGTTCAGTAACGCAGTCGCACTGCTCAGTGACCTCACAGTTCGAAGAAGAGCCGTCACCGGTTTCCAGCCTGCGTTTGGCCCGTCGTTCTGTGGGGGGCGTGCTGCTTGCAGAGCTCTGGGGAGACTGGCTCAGCACCCAATGGGCCGGAGAGCCAGCCTGTTCGGAAGTTCTGCTGCTTGGGGACAACCACTGTTTGATAGTGGGCGGAGTTCTGTGCCGAACAGCTGCAGTTTTAGAGTCCTGTGAGCGGTTGGGTGTAGTGGTGCTGGAAGAAAGGGGCAGGGCGGCTCCACTGGGAGCACAGGCTGCAGGCTGAGGTGAGGCTATGCCACCAAGGCTCACTCTCCTCTGGGGCTTGGCAGGGGTTGTCTCAGCTGGAATGGAAGGCCCTTAACAGCAGAATAAAGTAGTGTGAGTCCAGATGTGATCATGTTTTGTATTTAACTGCAGGACAGCAGTGATTTATGATGAAGCACAAATTCACATGCACATACTGTAAGTGAAACCTCTACGCTTTTATGACTATATGCTAGTTCTTCACAAGAATACATTGTAGGTGAAGCACTTACTTGGGAGAATCTTAGGACGTGCATGGCCTACTAGGTTAGCCTCTCCTAATGAGGACTGCACTTCATCATTTTCTCGGTGAAGTCGCCAGATGCGCACGGTGTGGTCATCGGAACAGGAAGCAATCTGCCAACAGAGCAGAGGGCTTTATACAGAAGCTCATTAAATCAAATAAAGTCAGAGCGCCCCGCATCTTCCAGCAAAGTGCAGCTGGTTCAGGTGCTTCTCGGCTCATTAAAACTCCTCCAATTCACAGCAGTGTTCATACTTGTATAACCACTCACGTCTTACCTTAGTGAAATCTGTCGGACACCATGCAACAGACGTCACTTCCTCACTATGACCTTGAAGCGTCATGGGAGGAAGTTCAGGATTGGAGATCTGAAATGTAACAAAAAAAATGTTCAAAAACCTTAAATTCGCAGTTCCTCAACACCAGAAAACCCCCAGAGTGAAAATAAAGCAATTTTTATTACGTCAGGTAAAATATAACCGAGAACGCACCTTCCAAATGTACGTGTGGTTGTCACTCGAACCGCTGGCCAAAAACTGGTCATCTGGGCTAACGCTGGACTTTACATAAAACGAGGAGTTCTGGTGACCGCTGAAAACTGCCACTGTGGATGAAACATAATTCTTAAAAATGACAAAACATTCACAAAGATCAGAGAACAAACAAGTCTAAGGACAATCAAATAAAAGGATAAAATGTACAGTACTGTGTATATAACAATAAAAAGAGAAATGCTGAACTTTCCTCTAGTTTCTGTACATTTAGTAACACTTTCCTCTTTCGTTTCCATTAAAAAACTGTCATGATGCATTTTGAAATGGTTTCCTGTATTGCAACCTGTCAAACAGCACCTAACCCACTGCTATTCAGAACTTCAGATCAGACTTTAACACGTAACAGTAGAAAACAAAGCATCTACGGCTTTTATTTGCATCAAGAGGCTTCTGCTGCTGGATGCTTTGCTCCCATAACAAAGCGCATCAGCGCCATCTAGTGATGAATGGGTGACTGGAAAAAAAGACCTATTCTACTCTAGTGCACATACACGCACTGTTGAGCCAGAGCGAGGAGCTTCTTTACCTGGTGTCGTTTTTATTCCGCAGACACTGAACATATAGATGCTGTCGTCTGTGCAGTTACACATCACGTTGGCTCTCGCGGAGTCCAGAGCGAGTCCGGAATATCCTGCAGCACGTCAAAAAGACAGCTGGGTTATTTGTGTGTTATTTGCACATTTCAGGTAAAGGTGATGCTTGGCATGTTAGGGAACTAACCCAGCCGCGTCCGCGTGCAAGAACCTGGATACGGAAATGTCTGCAGGGGTACAGGATCATGACGGTGTGCAGTGTAGTTCTTCCTCAAATCCCACATCTTGATTACTCTGATAAAGGGAATTGAAGGAGACAGAAAATGATCGAGAATGTCTGGTAACGGCTCTTATAAATGTGAAAAAGGTGACAAGAAGCCTTTCTTTTCTTACCCGTCAACAGCTCCCGAAGAGATGAGGGTGTGCTGATCCCTGAACAAAACCACTGTAACGCTCTGCTGGGAGTCCTGCAAATAAGATGGAGTAGCTAAAGATTAGATTTCCATTTGCAGCATCGCTCTTTTCATTCCATTAAACGGCTGATTGTCGAGAAAACTCACCACGCTCGGAGCCATGCCGCGCATGCCGCCCCGTCTCTTCTTCGTTTTAGAGGGAGGGTTGGTCTCTGCTTTGTTGTGAGCTCCGCTGATCTGGTTCACCTGTCTGTAGAAACCATCTGAGGGAAAGACATAAGTTTGATTATTGTCGTGGCATTTTTCATAAATTCAACTAAAGAAACAGGAAAAAATAAGTGTGGTGCTAGTAACAAAGTGGCTAAAGATATGATTTAAAATGTATTGCTAAATTGTCTATTACTGTTCCGATCAATACCTTTTTTGCTGCACCTCATGTCCCAGATCATAATATTTCCATCTCTGGCTCCAGTAGAAAACACGGCTGCGTGACAAAAGAAAATGTATTAATCACATGATACAACAATATATCATCAATGCACAGCCAACACAGTGTTAGCTCAGTAAAAGGTATACCTTTCTCCTCTGGTGCGAATGCAACAGACTTAAGACTGCAGACGTGGCCCTTGAAGCTGCCTAACAACTCTCCAGACTTCACATCCCAGAGCCTGGCCATCTGGTCACCCGCAGCAGTTACCTGAAGAGATCACAGATGACCAAAGAATAATAAGAAAAGGCTTCAGAGTTTTTAATGGGTTCCAACAAAATAAAGAACAACAAAAAAACCCAAAAATTAGTAATCCCAGGTAAGGCAGATGCAATTACATGAGTCATGCATTTGAGGGTGACGCAAAAACATCTGACTTTCTGCAATTCTCTGACTAAACAGAATGAATTTGCACTTACTAACTGAGGCTCCCCTGGCATCCAGGCGATATCAAAGACAGCATTCTCATGAGCCAGCCATGCTGCAAGGTTAACACACTTTTAGCCACCAACATTTCAAAATACGTGGCATGACAATTATGAACACAAGTCACAAGAATACCTTTAAGAAGTGGATATTCACGGCTCTCTGTGTTGTAGAGCCTAACAATGCCTTCTTCATTAGCTGCTGCGAGGATGTTCTGCAGGTCCCTGGCTGAAAACAAACAGGAGAAAAGAGACACTGCAGTTAGACAGATTAATGACAACAGGGCCTTGCTCTCTCTGCACTTACAACGATAAGCACAAATGAATTACCAGAGGAGAAAGCTAATCCAAACGGTGGCACAGAGTCGCCAAGGTTCCCATAGGAGATATGTTCATCATGTCGGACGCATCGGTAGCCTTCAAGCAGGGAACTCAGAGGGTACCTGGACCAGGGATCTGCAGGGAGAGCTGAAGAGAATGATGCATGGTCAGAGGAAGGACATCAATGAGACACAGCAGTAAAACTAACTAAAAAGCATTGCAGATTTAAGAGGACAATCATCAGATCACTTTGAGCTGATATGAAGGCAACTGTAACTCAAATAATCACTTGTTACAATTAAGATATGCAGAAGAGCATCTCTGAGATGCAACACATTGAACCTTGGAGTCATTGCAGCAGAAGACCACACCAGCTGCCGCTCTTGTAGGCCAAGAACAGGATCCTAGGGCTGCTATTCACACGGGATCAACAAAATTGGACAACAGAACACTGTAAAAACATTGTCTATTCTGAAAAGTCTCGATTTCTGCTGTGATGTTCGGATAATAAGTTCAGAATTTGATGCAAACAGCATGAGAACATGGATCCATCCTGCCTTCTATCAACAGTTCAGGCTGCTGGTGGTGTAATGACGTGGGGAGTATTTTCTTGGCACACCGAGTGCCAGCTGAGGATCATTTAAACACCACATCCTACCTGTTGTTGCTGACCACGGTGTACCGATTTTCTAATGCAGGGGTGTCAAACATACAGCCCAGGGGCCAGAACCGGCCCGTATAAAAATGTCAAAGAATGCATAAATGTGGATTTTTGGTTTGTACTTGTGAACTGATCACGTCACGAGAGTCCAAACTAACGGTCCAGAGATTTGACTCATTTTAAATCTCTCTATACTATACCAAAATAAGTACTGGACACCATTAAAAATAAAATAAATGAATAAAAAACAGAAAATTAGCTGGGTTTCATTATAAATGAATCAATGGGCAAATTCCTATTTTATTTAACAGGAAAAAAAATAGTATGTATTCTTTGAATTACCAGAAGATTTAGAGTTGTTTTTTTTCTTTTGGGACCATTTACTATAATAACCTGTATGGGTAATGAATTTAGACTGGTAACAGTAAGGCTCTTATTTTATAAATAACTCTTTAATATTTTCAAAATATACTCAAACATCTTCCCACTTTCCATTAGTCTGGTAGTCTGTAGTAGCCTGGCCTACTTCAGATTGTTCTATAAGTTACCCTTTACTACGTGACACCCTTCTCTAATGGCTGTAATGGCTGCTTTCAGCAGGATAACACCGTGTCACAGAGCTCACTTCCTCTCAGATTGGTTTCTTTAACATGACGATGAGCACACTTTACTCAAATGGCCTCCACAGACGCCAGATCTCAAGCCATTGGGATGTGGTAAAACAGGACATTGCATCGTTGATGTACAGTCGACAAATATGCAGAAACTGTGTGATGCCATCGCGTCAATATGAATCAAAAAATCTGAGGGACGCTTTAACCAACTTGTTGAATCTACGCCTGGAAGACAAAAGAGGGTCCAACTCGCCAGGTGTACCTATTAAAGTGACCTACGAGCATAGATCGGCACGCTTGTCTTCTCACTTGCTCTTGAGTTGTATAAACCAAAGCCAATCAAAATATGAGAAACTGTCCTAATATGTACTACGGTTATAAGGCAGGACATATTGTTGGTGTGCCACCAGTTGGAGTCTGAACAGCCCGACAAAGACATTCACGAAGAAAGTAGAATTAAACGTTAAAGTCCACACTGAAGGCAAAAGAAAAGCAAGTGCAAATGATACTCTAGGAGCCCTCTTGGCAGCATGACACCTCGAAACATAAAGCAGAGATGTTAGACTGCATTATCTTCCATGTTAGACTAGCTAAAGCCCAGCCATGGCCGTGCAAATAACCCATCCCTGTCTCACCATTCTGCCTCCGTCTGCCCACTCCTCTGTCCACCACTGAGCGGAAAAGCATCCCTGCACTGCAGCACAACTCGATCCAAAGGCTTTTGTATAAAAACGTAACGTTTTCCTCGATGTCAAGCTTCTGCCGGTGCGCTTTCTGTGCCGAAGCTGGGGTACTATTTCCCGCGAAGAGATCGTCCGAGCAGAAGGACTGAATTCCCCGCTAAACTTGCGTTACGCGCAACCATTGGTGGAAACGGCGACTTCCTGGGCAGGAGCGCTTCTGCTTCCGCTTTCTTTGTAAACTTTCCCACCATAACTGGAGAAGGAGAAGCCCCTTCAGCATAAATAAATATTTTTAAAACGATTAAACTAATAACTAGTCCCTCTTTGCATAGCACGTTTATCCTGTTAGACAGTTGTTAGTTTAGTAAATACACTTTGGTGTATACAACCACTGCCAAACTGCATGTAGATGGTGCATTTAGTGGTGCAAGTATAATTAGAAGTTGTGTGACAACACACAATTTCAGGTTGTGCGCAGTGTTGAACTAGAAATTGAATATCTGTGACTGCAACAAAAGTTATGAAAATCACACGTAAAAATGTTCTTTTCAACAGAAGCACTAAAGTAACAAAGGTTTAAAAGTCACCATGACTTTGATGTCTCCAATGGAATTGTTGTTATTTAGAGTATTATGGTGTTACCGATTCATCCATAATCTATCATTTGACGCTAAGGAGATACTAGAATAATATACTAATACATATTTCACTTAGATATTTAACTTAAATATATATTTTTAAATACAACAGTCCCTAAAGCAGCTTGTTAGCTTGCGACCATGACAACTGGCGTTTTATTATGAAAGTCAATCTCCAGACCGGATGTTCTGTCTCTGTATCCTCAGTGTTTTCCTGAATGCCGCCTGAACAGTGAAATGCTAACATCTCATGAGTGTATCTTCTTTTATTAAGGAGTAAAAACTGCACAGTAATGTCGCTCTCCACCGCACGCTCATTCCTGTCAGAGGCTTGTTATGGCGAACAGGAGCTCGACGCTAACTCCGCTCTCATGGAGCTGGACAAAGGTGTGTTAGCTCGCTGGCTAAAGACTTAGCAAATGGTTCATTGATTGTGTTCTGATCCGGTGTGTCGTTTTTCGTCATGTATTAACTGTTAGGGACTATATGGAAACTTCCTGCTTTGTTGTGACTGGAGAAATTCCTTTATTTTCAGGGTTGCGGTCGGGGAAGCTCGGTGAGCAGTGTGAGGCTGTGGTTTTGTTCCCCAAACTCTTCCAGAAGTACCCCTTTCCCATCCTCATCAACTCTGCATTTTTAAAACTAGCAGACATCTTCAGGCTCGGGTATGATTGCTTTATAGTGGTGTGCGGATCGATACTGAAATATCGATTCTTCCGATACCAGCAATTTATGTTCTAGAATCGATTCTCATATTATAATATCGATATTTTAGTACTCTGGGGTAAATTTGTAGTTTTTCCATTAAAATGAACGCAGTGGAAAGAAACTATACAATTCGGATCGTCTAATTTGGAAGGAACTACTTCCTCTTACGCCTTTCATAGTCATATGCGGAATACGGCTGTATAAATGTGTCGCAGCCCCTGGCGTGCACACTCACAACAATGGCTGAGCGCAAACAGAGTCCTGTGTGGACACGTTGTTGTGGCAACACCACTGACCTCGTCAAACACCTCTGAGTAAATCACATCACAGAATATGATAAGCTTATGTTGAGGCGAACTGAAGAGGAGGACAGGGACAGGTGCTGCTAGGGCGAGACAGACGTCTCTCTTGGTATCGGATCGGAAGGGAAATCAGTGGTATCGCACATCACTATTGCTTTAGATGATCATTTATTTATGTATTTATTTGTTAAAGGCTACTTTACTGACAGTTGTTTCCCAATTTCTTTATAGCTGAATCTAATATAGGCATCCGAATGCATTTCAGAGTGTAGAGAAAATTTTAATAACATCTCCTAGTAATTCAGCGTACAATTTAACCACAAGCCTAAGCCGTCATGCAGTTCACATAATCACTCTCAAGCTAATGCAAAAATAAAATAAACTCTGAAACACCAAAAAATAACAGATAATAGATTTTATTCTTATATTTAATGTCTAATTGCGTGTCTTTGATGTCTCTAATGAACTTGATGTTTATCAATCTTTAAAAGTTAATGATACTTTAAACTAAGCATACCCAGTAAACTGATCATTGAGGGCAGGCGTGTTAATGTGTAATTGTGTTGTATGAAAAGTATGAATAGATGTAAGTACAGAGGAAAAAATGTTGGTGTGAGGAAGGTTTTAAAAATAAACAAACTATAATTATTCTTCATGAAAAAAATGAAATAAAAAAAGTTGTATGAAAAGAGAGAGAGAAGGTTCCAAATAAGAGGATTTGGGGGGGGGGGAAGTGAATTTATTTCACTTTAAGAAAGAATAAGAAACAAACTATTCTTACTTAAGTGGATTTTTCAAACTTTAATTTTATTCAAAAGTGCCTAAATAAATAAAGGTGTGCATCTTATGCACTTTTTAATAGAATGTTGTTGAAGTTGGTGAGATCTATTTAGAAGATGCGAGAAGTTAAAGATGAGCTTTACTGTGCCACAAACATCTTTATTAATAGAAGCTTATTTCTCTTTTCCAGTAACAACTTTCTACGTCTCTGTGTACTCAAAGTGACTCAACAGAGTGAGAAACATTTGGAGAAGATTCTCAATGTGGATGAGTTTGTGAAACGGGTGTTTTCAGTCATCCACAGTAATGACCCTGTGGCCAGAGCCATCACTCTGAGGTAATAATGTGAAATCATGAATAGACACGAGTGGCGCATCTGACCCTAGCACACTCTTCTGTCAACCCTCTGCATGTCCTCCTTCACTACACCTACAAACCTCCTTTGTGGCCTTCTTGCCTGGCTTTGGCATCCTTTGCAGTGTATCCAGTGTCCTTCTTCTGCACATGTCCAAAACATCTCAGCCTTGCCTCTCTAACTTTTACTCCAATATGCTCAACCTGAGGTGTCCCTCCTTTCTTATCCTGTGCATTCTCTGTGAGAATTGTAACATCTTCATCAAATTACCCCAATACTAGTCTCCATCCACTCCACCCTGCCTGCACTTTCTTCTTCACCTTTGTTGTGCACAGTCTTTTTCAGTCATCTCAGATTTTTCAAAAGAAAATTCCTGCTGTCTTATGTGTTCAGGATGCTTGGTAGTTTGGCCTCCATCATCCCAGAGAGGAAGAATGCCCACCACAGTATTCGCCAAAGCCTGGACTCTCACGACAATGTGGAAGTCGAGGCAGCCATCTTTGCTGCCGCAAGCTTCTCTGCACAGTCAAAGTAAGGAAACGATGACTAAAAGTGAGCTCTGATGTATGGGATGATGTTTTAGATGATCTAATTGTGGTGTGGCTTTTTAATTAATTAATTCTTTTTCATTTTCAGAGACTTTGCAGCTGGTATTTGCAACAAAGTTAGTGAGATGATTCAAGGTAAGATGTTTATTCTGTATTTAAAATGTCTCAGATCACGTGAAGATAAACGAGAGCTGTCGTGGTTCAAAGCTTCATTATTACTGATGTCTTTTGTTTTTAGTTTTCTCACTAAACTGAGTGCAGCTATTCTTTTTTTTTTTTTTCTTCATGCTGAAATCACAGAGAAAAAGAAACACAAAACACTGCAAATACACATTTTGCTGAACCCAAATATAACCCAGCAGATAACATCTGCATCTTTTACATAACATTTGCATTGATCTTTTCTTCCACCTCAGGTTTAGACACTCCTGTGGAACTGAAACTGAAGTTGATCCCCATGCTGCAGCACATGCATCATGACGCCAGCCTGGCATCCAGCAGCAGAGAGCTTTTACAGCATCTGGTGAACTCTTATCCTTCCACCCCCATGGTCATCGTCTCCCTGCATACTTTCACCCAGCTGGCCGCCTCTTCCCTCATAGATATCCCCAAGCAGGTAGACCCAACTTGCTCGCACACAGCAATGCCTCCTTTCTTTCGGTTTGTTGTGGTGAACCTCTGATTTGGTTCCTAATCTGTTTGCAGCTGCAGCTCCTCCTTCAGTACCTAAAAGATGATCCGAGAAAAGCTGTGAAGAGACTTGCAGTTAACGATTTAAAGCTCCTGGCTAAAAAGGCTCCTCACCTGTGGATAAGAGAAAACACTCAGGTAGAGCCCCAGATGGCAACAGTTGCACTGTAGGGTTGTTGTGATGTTTAAAATCTGTCTGCAATCTAACAGCTTTTACCTTTGCAGGTGCTGTGCGAGTGTGCTTTGACTATCCCCTACAACAGTTTGAAGCTGGGGATGTTGGCCGTTCTCTCCACCCTCTCTGGAACTATTGCGATCAAACAGTATTTTAGTAATGTGGGAGGTAATGTTTACGCTTAAATCGCTGCATTTAGGAAACAAAGAATGCCACTCTGAACTGATCTGCATTCTCTAAAACTTTCTTCTCAGGTGGCTCTTTGGTTCCACCCCGGCTCACTGACCTGGTTAAGTTGGCACAGGAATGCTGTTACCACAGCAACCTGGCAGTAGCAGCTCACGGGGTCATAGTGCTCACCAACATTGCCATTTCCTGTCCAGAGAAAGGTTAGTTAGACTGGGCAATAACCTATTTGGGGGATGCTTTTAATTCTTAATCAGTGTGGTAATATTTGTTGTTGTGTGCATCTCCCCCTCCTCAGATATAGTACAGCTGGAGCAGGACACAGTTTTGGGAGTGGAGTCCCTTCTGATGCTGTGCAGTCAGGACAACAGCCCCAGTGCACAAGCCACACTGAAAGTAAGACATTAGACCCCTGAGGAGGCAGAGTTTACATTATAAAACATCTGAAAAAGTACCACAATGTATTTTAATTTAAATTTGGAAAACTGGTTTGGTTTGGCTGGACTTTTAAGAGTTACAGGTTCATTGTTACTCCTGCCCTGCTCACTGGACCAATTGAAGTTTCTCATGCGTACATGGTTCAGGGATTTGTCTGACAGAAATGTGTAACGGCAGCTGGTTGACGGTGGTTCCTGGAGGTTTCTGGTTCTCACTGGATGAAATTAGTTGCGAAGGATCTGCCACAACAAAAATCTCCCAGTGATTGCCTGGGTTGAGCGCACGTTGCCTGTAGTTCTTCATGTTTGCCTGAAAAATACTGGTTAACTATTAGAATAAAGAAATGTTTTTCTTTAATACCAGCTGCACAAACTTTGCAAATGAGGTGAGAATTATTTTGGGAGCGTTTCTCCATGCCTCTC